AACTCCCAGAATTCCCCAGCCAGCGAATGCTGGCTGGGGAATTCTGGGAGTTGAAGTCCAGACATCTTCAAGTTGCCAAGGTTGAGAAACACTGATCTAAGATATGCCTAAAGGCTAAAGTTATCTCTATGTGACAGAAGAAATGGTTTCTTCTTGAAATGTGCTGACCCACAATGTGCTAGTTGCCTCCAGTGAATTTGGATAAAGATTTACAATCTGCACATTTACTAGATAGATAGTTTATACCTTTTTAATATGTCCTCTCAGGCTGGAGAGAGCAAGTTGCTATTTTATGTTACTCCCAGGTTTTCTTCAAAAACTCTTTTCTTCTTCTCTTCTTCTCTTGATAAATTTGTAATCCACAAAGGCCCACCAAACCCCAGTGTTCAACCCCAAAAGCCTCATAAATCACCAAAAGGAGAACTCAAAATGTATTCCACTTGATTGTAAAAGTAAATCCCTGCTAGTTCCCAGCTTCAGTTCATTCTATCTTTTTAGCTGCCATGTGAGTTCAGAGAGCTACAATGTTTTAAAAGTTGCAATGTTTCACTCTCTGTTTCTGCTATCCAGTATGAACAGTTTACTGGTACAGATAACTTGCTTATTACTTGTAGCAGACAAGCTAATCAACATCTGATCTTCCAGCCAGTTCATTTCACTCACTTTCACTTCTAAAAGTCTTTCTCAGCCTTTAGATGTCGCTGTTGCTCTATTTCTCTAATTTTTCTCTCTTTTTAACTTATCCGATGCAAACTTTTTAAGGATTCCAGAGCCAGAATTTCATATTCCAAAAAGTTTTCAATTCAGTTAATATTGTTGTTGAAATGACCAGCCCAGTTTTTCCAGCTTCAAACTTATTTCTCTCTCTCATACAGTTCTCTTTCCCTTTTCTGGATCTGCAAACAGCTCTCAAGCTTGCTTGCAGCTATTCTTGGGGGGTGGGGGGGGTGGGGTTGGAAAACAAACAAATCTACCTCCTCCTCTTTGAGTTCCACTTTTACCCAGGCTAATCATTAAGGTGGCAAGTTCCTCAACAGAAGTTGGAAAAGTCTCACCCAGATCAGCTACACTGTTCCTCAGTCCTGCTTCATCGGTCGGCTGTCACTGCCTTGGTCAGGCACATAATGGCCATCTTTTTCTTCTTGAGAGCTTCCTCTGGATCAAACAATGAGTTTGTGATCTCCTTGTTATCGACAGAGTGTCCTCTCTGTCTTCATCACCCCTGCAGGGTGACCTGGGTCCAAAAGGACCTATTGGCAGGTAGGATTCACTGAGTTTCCATGAAAACACACCATGTCACCACGATGTCAGCCCTGCCTCTGCAAATTGCTATTCTGTTATGTCCTCATATTAGAGATTTCATGATTCTGCACTTCAGAGTGGTTGGGAGATTGCTGTGGGTTTATGTATTACTTGATTCCCTAAGGTCAAGTAACCTAAATTCCCAAGGCAATTATAGTTCATAAAACTTGGTACATTGAAAAAAGGAGAGTGTTCTGTGAGTCAGTTCCTAATAGAGGAATTATTATGTTAATTGCAGTTGCTGTATGTACTTTATGGATCTCACAAATAATGAAACTGGTAACATATTATGTCCTAGTGGTTGAATAAAGTGTAAATTAGCGTGCATCAAGCGCATGCAAGCACGCGGTGCATCCACGAGTGAACCAGCAGTAGAGATTGCTGGAACCCACCCCTGGATAGAGCCCATTATTCAAGTATGTCAAGATCTTTTTGGATTCTGAGGTTGTCTTCCGGGGTGTTGGCTATTCCTGCCAGCTTAGTATCATATGCAAATTTATGAGTTCCCCTTCTATTCTCTCATCTAAATCATTTATGAAGATATTGAAGAGTACTGATCTTAAGTCAGAACATTGTGGTACCCCACTGCTTACTTTCCTCAATTGTAAATGTAGTACCATTAAAGATTACTCATTGAGTATGTTTTGTTAGCCAGTTACAGATCCAATAGAGAATGTTGATGTGTTCCAATGAATCTCGCCAATTGGGAATTATGTATTAAAATATTCAGACAATGAATGAAACTAAATAGTGGGGGAAAGTGGGAACTTTTTTCACAGAGTCCGTAACAGATCCCTTAAAATTGCAAGATAGTCATCATGGCATCATATGGAGAGATTCAGAAGGGGATTACACAAATTCATTAATGCTAAATCTACTGCAAACTGCTTCTAATTGAAGTTATAGTCAATAACTTCTTGAAACCAGTTTGCAGGGAAAATTGTTCCTCTGCAAGGCTATGTACAAGAGCATAAACAGTAGAATTTCAGTTCAGTATTTCAATATTACACACACACACACACACACACACACACACACACACACAGGAATCCAAATAAATATAATAGTAACAAGAACATTTCCAAATACAGTGATACATAAAACAAACAATACAGTTAAATAAATCTTTCCTCTGTATCTAAAAAGAAAAGTAATTCAGCTTATCAATAATGATTCTGGAGTGAGATTAAGATAAAGAACTCTTCATTTCAAGCCACTGTCAATAGAATATATATATATATTAGAATATATATATTAGAATATAGAATATAGAATATATTCTATATATATATATTCTATATTCTATATTCTATATTCTAATATATATATTCTAATATATATATATATTCTATTGACAGTGGCTTGAAATGAAGAGTTCTATATATTCTATATAATATAATCAATTATTTATTTTGCATTTACTATAGGAAAATATATATCCATGTGGAAATGTATATTACAGTTAGCCAAGAATAGTTGGTTTGTATTCATTGTTATAATTTACTATAATTTGGGGCAATTCTATCCTATTTAACTTTGACTTATGCTAAAACAGAAAAATAACCAAGCATTCTTTGCTTAAATTAGTCCATAAGATTTTTATTTTTAGAAAATTACAAAAGCAACCCTCTTTTGTTCACATGTATAATTACTTGAAGCAACTTTTCATAAACTACTAATTTGGTATTCCTTTCTCTTTGTTTAGTATGCTCTGATACGTATGACCAAAGTCCCTTTAAAAAAAAAAAAGAGCGAATGCATAATTTTTACAATACACTTGATTTTTCAGGTCATTTCACAGCAATGGTTTGGAAGAACACAAAAAAGATGGGAGTTGGAAAAGCAGCTGCGAGTGATGGCTCCACATTTGTAGTGGCTAGATATGAACCTGCTGGCAACATTGTAAACTCTGGGCAATATGAACAAAATGTTTTTCCACCAAAAAAGTAACATTCTTTTTATAACAGGTTATAAAAAGAAAACTGAGAGTTAACCTGATTACATTGGATAAACCACTGTTGAATGGTACTTTAGTCTTTAAATGATTATTTCAAGAAATGTTTAATGGACAAGCAGTTCTGCCTACAAAATTGATTCTTGTACCGAACCATTCCTGAAACACAATGAAAACACTGAAAGGTATTGACAAAAACCAACATATGGAACATACATTTCAAGAAATGTAACAGCAAAATATATCGAAATAACAGTATTAAGATCATAATATTTTGATATTAAAGTTTGCAAGTATATTTAGAGGGTTTATATAATTTCATATCTGTACAGAATTCCCTCTCTAAAATATATTTGCAAACTTTAATATCAAAATAGTTTTAATACTATTATTTCATACAATACAAGGATTTCTAAAAAGAGGAAAGACTGGTTTTAATTGCTTATAATTAAATGCCCATACGGATTGATTGTGTTGCCTGAATGCACATGAAAAATAGCAAATTCCTAACGTAAATTGCATGAAACTATTTATCTGGCGCATCCGGTGTTTGTAGATAAGCATGGACTGGTATAGTAGGGTTGTAGGCATTCTGAAAATATAACTATTTCCACAGAGCACAAAACTTATTTATCCATTAGACTCTCATCTGACTTCTTTTTCTTTTATATAAAATGCAAGGACAGATTAAATTAATAGTTTCATTTCTCAGTCTGGAAGTTAGCTGAAGCTTACAGAATTACTATTTAATAAGCATCTCACTCTCTTTTTATATTGCAAAGACTTTGTGTCAGTGCAGTATATGGAGAGTGAGGAGCTGCTATTAGGGACAGCTGGCAAGACTGGGAAATCAGTTAGTAGTAAATGATGCAGCTGTTGAGGAAGTGCTCCATTGCCACAATAGTCATAGCTTTTGCTTAGAAGCCAAACTTTTGAAAGGAATTTTTAAAAAAACTTTAAAAGGTAAAAAAGTTTAAACTCTCCTGGTTAGGATAAACAGAGACTGTTGAAATAAATATATTACCCAAGACATTTTTTAAAATTTGAAATGGTGCCAATTTTATTCCCATATAAAACTTCGTAAGACTAGCAAAAAACTTTCAATAGATTTATATGGAGTGGGAGAAAACTTGAAATAAAATTTAAGATTTTACAGAATGGACCCAATTAGCAAAAGAAAGCTCGGGACCATATTGGTTGGAAACATATGAAAAAGGCCTTCATGCTGGAGTGGCTAGACAATGGCTTAAATTGATGATGATGATGATGATGATGATGATGATGATGATGATGATGATGATGATGATGATGATATTCTTCCATTCGATCCTGTCTGGTTCTTGGGGACTGCCTGACCAAGCCCTGCAATTTTCTTGGCAAGGTTTATCAGAAGTAATTTGCCATTGCTTCCTTATTAGGGCTGAAAAAAATTGACTGGTCCAGAGCCCTAAATGTCATGGGTCCAGGCTATTTGAGGAGCCATCTCACTCCAATAAGAATTGCCTGTCCCACTTACTCCAGTGGAAGGAGCCTGCGATAGACCCTGTCGGCCAAGAAATTCCAGCCAGCAATGTCAAAGAAGAGCCTTTTCTACTGTGGCCCCAGCCCTGTGAATCGTTCTACGATGATCAGAAGCGAGAACTGTTCCAACTCTTCAAGCATTCTGAAAGGGGATCAAAACCCGATTTTTCCAATTGCCTTATGAAGTGTTCACTGCTGGAAGTGGTTGATAGAGTAAGAAGAAATCTCATCCCAATGTCATTTGTCTCCTTTATTCTAGTTTTTTTAAAATGTTCAATTTTTAAAATTGTTTCTATACTTCTTATTTTTTTCTGTAAGCCACCCAGAGTCACCTTATCATTGACAGGGGAAATATATAAATATAAGCAAGCAAGCAAGCAAACAAACAAACAAACAAACAGTCATCCAGCTGACTTTGTGACTAGAACTCATTTCCTGGTTTCTAGCCTGATGCCTTAACCAAAATGGCTGTATAATATAGTATGCATATTACATCACAGAAAACAGAGTTGAGAAAATGACCAAATAATAGAACAGAATAGAATAACAGTTTCTCTCAGGCCTAATCCCAAAGACAACACAGTAAAATCCAATCAAGTTGACACTGCCCCCCCCTCATTTCTAAGTCTAGAGATTGGAGGGTCTAGCCCCGTGATGGAGAACCTATGGAACACATGCCGGAAGTGGCACGCAGAGCCATCTCTCTGGGCATGCCAGCCATCACCCATTACTGTTCCGGGTTCTGGTGTGCAGAAACTGAACGACCACATAAACCAGCATGCATGCCAGAAACCGGGAGACCAGATGACCGGTGCGCATGTGCATGTCAGAAACTGGAAGCTCAGCCAGCGCAACAAGGCTACAGGCTGGGTTTGGAGCTATGGGCTGGATTTGGGGCTTTGATAAATGCTTCTCTTGACATAGTTTATCTTATAGGGTTTTAAGCATCCTGTTAGCTCACTGTACTCTCCCTGATGACTGCAGGTTATACGGGATGTGTAAATTTTGGGTGTCATACAAGGATTGCCAAATATGTTAAATGATCTGAAAAACAAAATGCTTTCCTCAATCCATGTCCAATTTGCTAGATATCCTTTAGGACAGGGCCGTCAAACGCCCAGCCCGTGGGCTGAATGTGTCATGTGCTGGCCACACCCATGCCCGGTTTAGTGAAGGAAAAAAAAGTCCTGATATTTCACCTGACACTGCCAACGTGAGATTGACACCACCTGCTTTAGGAGGTATTGAGCAGTTTCAATGGCAGTAGCATGTCAGCAAGGAATGGCTGATATCCAATAAGTTGATCTTTACACAGAAGCAGGTGCTGGAAGCCATAAACGTCTCTTGGGAGAGGTGTAACATCCTCTCTCCTTACCAATGAGCAAAAAAAGAAAAGAGAAATCCTAAAAAATCCGAAATAGGTACAGAAGTGCACCCACAAGAAAATGTATAAATGGAGAAAAAAACTGTACTTGAAAAGAAGAATTTTACTTGGATGCAAAATTTTATTCTGGTGAGCTCAGGTGAATGATATGATTGTCAGCCCTCTTTGTTGGATAGAGAGGAGCCCTTTCTTTTGTTATGCCAAAGAGAGAGGAGACAAATTACACCAACTCAGTATTTACTCTTTCTTCTTTTGCTTTATATCAACTGCAAATCTTTGTTTATAAATGTTTTTTTAAAATTTTTCAGTATAACTTCAGGTTTTTTAAATATTAAGAGCTGCATACTTTTAACATTATACTTTATAAAACCAATTGAATGCAATCTCTCTACAAAGGCTTTTTCCTCCAACCATAAATTCTGCATATTTATAAGGATTATAATCACTCTGAACTGAATTTATATGAATGAACCGAACATGAATTTTTATGTACTGAATGGTCTGAACAAATTGAATGTTCATTTATAAACCCTTTGGCTGCAAAAGGTCTGGCTGTGTCGGCAGGCCTGGGGTCACATAAAGGCAAAGCTTTGTGTACCTTATAGAACCTCTGATTGTTGCAAGGCAAGGAATTGTTTCTACTAATCACAAAGCAAAACTACAAATGTAAGTTCGAGGTTCGAGGTTCATTTTATTTATATGCCGCCCTATTCCCAGCGGGACTCAGGGCGGCGCACAAA